CTGAGTACAAAGAACGACGAATGTAAATTCACTGTCGTCGTATAGTTGAGGGACTTACCACTAAAAGCATTTTGAGCAGGTTGTAAACTTCCGCCAACGCCTGCCTTTGCTTGATACTGGAAATCACATGATCGACCAGAAAGGATTAGCAACAAAGATCTCTGACACGCAACATACCAGTCAAGTACCTATTACTCAACAAAATATAAAGAAGGAAGTGGAAATTCACTGGAAATACCCTAAGATCATATAACGACATCAATTTCCAGGAACTTAAGTGGGATATAAATAAGAAGTGACAGGTTGGGCGTGGGAGAGTGGTATAGAGGAGATCTTATAACGAGGAAATGAAAATCTTGCAGACAATCGTGAGGCATTTTGAAAGTGATAGAAAAGAACCAAGTGCAGTAGAGGTGTGCTGCTGAAACCCCATGTTACACTAAAAACGCATTGAATGACTGTATATGAGAATATTTACAACAACGTCATACTGCCTGACAGACACTTTACTCAAACTCGTACAAGCGTATTAGGGTTTAAAGAGAGCTGTCAAATGAACTGGTGCTGTCTGAAAAGAATGCTTGATGTTTCAGTTCCTAGTTGATGATTATATTTTAGGTAAGATGACTGCTGTGACTAAATTTGGCCTCAAGTTCTGAAGATTTGAATTTCCATGGGCGAAATGTCTTGTTCACTTAAAGTATAAATTTCATACTCCTTTTACGTGAAAATGTTGACGTAGTTCATCGTTTTCCGAACAATCTAGACAGAAATCGAAGTATATTTCCATTGTATTTTACTTTCTTCGAATGTATGGTGTTACAGAACTGATCTATGCTAACAAATAACTTGAGAAGAGAATTAATTGTGAAATGATTGAATCTGTTGACAGCTTCACTTATTTAGAGAACTGCATTGGCTCTGGACTGATCGTCGAAAAATCTGCAGTATTCATTCCTGAGAATAGTCTACCACTTACTAAATCGCGTCATCTTTGATCCAGGCATCATATCTGGCTTTCTAACGAAAGATATTTATAATACATATCAGCAACAAAGCTATTAGAAAACTCACAGAATATTATCTAGCATACGATATTTAGTCTTAATCTGTTGTTGTTGAGTTCGGGAATAAAAGACAAACTGCCTAATTTCGCCTCTTCCATGTGTATATACCAATTTAACTGCTCCTGTGGAGCCAGTTACATAGGCCGTACAGTTAGGCGTGTTTCTCGTCGAATTTCCGAACATCATCCTCCATAGTGGTTAAGTAAAGGACAAACAAAATCCATTAACATAGTGCTATTCTATCTCATCTTGTGGATGCAGAATACAAGATTGATGTTAACCATGATTTTAGGGTCATTTACCGCAAACCAACAAATCTCAATTTTGCCTTAAAAGTTCGACTACTAAATATTGCTGAGGCTGTTGGGATCCAGATTAAGAAGCCTAATTTGTGTATCCAAAAGAAGTTAGTTCAGACATTATCATTACCTTGGTCATCTAGGTTTGAATGATCCTCAATTTTTGTAGAAATTTCCCTAATTTTAGTTGATATTCTAGTTGCTATTATATCTTTATTATTAAAATAATTTAAGTAACTTTAATGAACTGTAATTCCATTGATCTTACTTTACAAAGCGATATTATTTAAGAAACACCAATATTGATACTGACTACTAATCTAGAATATTCTATGTATATAAACATATATATATAATTGTAGAGCCAGAAGAGGAAATTATCGAAGAAAATATTCTTTGCTCAATTATTTTGTGTTGAAAATGTGTTGAATATTATTGAGATATTGTGAAGGGGAAAAATTCACATTGAACTGGATTAGATACTGTTAACCACCACATATGATATGATCTAGCTAACAGATTTCAAAGTTGAAAGTATTCTCAAATGGATAGTAATATTGTTTTCATCCAATGAAATGATAAAATGACGGTTTGGTTCATTCTACCTGGAGATAATATTCCCATAGCTGGCACAATATCAGAGAAGTCGATGCGGTGGAGGTCAGAGGAAAAGTAGTTAACGTCATAGTGTAAGCCGTTTAGATTGATGATAGGGTATGTTAGGCAAAGTCGTACTGTGGTGAGAGCTGTTTGCTAACAAAAATTGGTAGACAGCAATTGTCGTCAATGTTTACGTCCCAAATCTTAGTCATGAGAGAAAAACAAGAACAGTGACCAACCTTGAGGAACTCAACAACCAATCACAGTAGACTTAGCGTGAGCGGATACGATTAACAGATATATCACCGGACTGTTTAAGAAATGGCCATAAGGAAATGACAGAATAACTTTCAGCAGAAAAACAACCAATCAGAAGACGCTATTTCTCTGCTAATAATAACGAATATTAATGTACATAAAAATCTATAAATATCTGTTGATTTTCTCAATAAACGATTTGTTGCCTGACCCTTGTCTTCTGTTGTTACAGTACTACTGGTCAATGGAGGAGTAAGATAAGTAAGATGTTTCAGCCAAATGACCCTCAAACTACCTCTCCTTTCTCTCCGCTTAGGCAGTTATCTTATTGGCTCTGTGATATATATTTGGTTTCCATCCTTTGCGTCCTAAGTGGCTAAACTTGGTGTTCTTTTTACTCGGTAAGGTCGTTCGACTCACACTCAACCTCTCCTCTTTTTCAGACTAACTATTGGCCAGTAAACTAGGCGATGCTTAGGAGTGTGTCGACCGAGAATTGAACTTGGCCCAAGTACTGGGTTGGTGGGCATTCTACCACTGAACCACTGAAGCTGGGCAGTGAAGTGACGCAATACTAATATTCTTTCTTCTTTTCAGTTATTCTAGTTTAAAACAATTTTTTTATAAATACGCTAAAATGCTAAGATGTTGATTTGCTATATGGTTGAACTAGTCATTTTGTGATGTTTACATAGACAATCTCTATCAACTTTTTTTAAGTTGAAGATCTAAAGTGATCAAATAATAAAGAAAGAAAAGTAACCTGCCAAAAGTAGATTAGTCTTCTTCTTCTTCTTTTTCGTTGTCATTGTGTTTTTTTATTTTTGGTTCGATCTGTATTTTTCAATCGAGTTGATCTATATATACATTACACTTGGTAGTATATTTATTTGACATAGAGTAATAATATAATCTATACAATGAATAATTATATATCACACCCGCACACTTGTTTGTGGATATATAATTAGCCTTCTTTTCATTCTTTTTACATATTATACCTGCATTCATGTTATTTTTTTTCTATCTGAAAGGTGTTCTCTTTTCATTTGACATTGTTTACTAACGTTTATATTTATTTATGTATTATTTTTATATAAGCCTGTATGTTATTCTAAATAGAAAGAAGATTGTACTATTCTTCGTAGACTGACTACTTATTCAGCTATTTAAGTAGTATTATGTTGCTATACCCTTTAGGTTCCGAGTGTACCATAGGACTTCACCAGCACATCTTCACTTAACCTTGTTCTCTTGATGCCTTTCTAGCTGACTACACACTTGCTCATAGGCTTTAATTTCCTCCTCATATGGTCTTCTTCACCTGACCTTCAAACTATACGACTCATCGTTTTGCCTTGGGTTTCCACTGAAAGGCTTGATGGTCGATGTTACTCAGTGGTGTACACAGCGTATGTTCAATGCATTATTCACCTTTATTTCCCTCTATATATTTATTGGGCTATTGGTTCTTGGTTAGTTTGTTATTGCCAGAGTCCCTTATTGGTTGCTTATCCTTTCCCGTTGGCCATTTGATCTTCTGTGTGAAGTTGAGGTAGCTGTTGATGAAAGTTTGTATCAGGCTGTTTAAAATATCAACCACAAGTATCTGAACTATATGGAGACACTGATTTGACATTAGTGTGGAAGATCCTTGTGCTGAATGCAGAATATTTGATCAACTCTGATCTCAGAGTAATGAAGATCAGTCATGCTTTTCCGATCCTGAATGCCTCTGATATTCTCCTTCCTGCCGTATATAGTTGAGACAATGTTTCCTAGATCAATGAATGAGGTTTTTTTGATAGGGCTTAGTGATTGTTGTTGTTGTTATTGGTTAGATATTTTTATCACTACTGTCTTGTCTACGTTCACTTGAACTCCTCTCTTCACTGGTTCTTCTGTCAACTTGTTGGCTTCTACCTCTAAATCTTCAAGTTTGTTCGACAGTAGACATGAATCATCCACGAAATTCAAATTTTCCAGTCCTTTTTATTGGTTCAACAAATGCCTGTCTTCTCTTTGATTTCCTCCAAATGTGATGATGACTAGTTATCACCTAGGTCGGTGATTCCACTGGTAATTTTTATCGATTACTCAGATGATCAGTCACTACAAATCAATACATTATGTAAACCTCATAGATTATATGCTGAGTGTAAGGTTCAAACTTCATTCGCTGGCACATCCAGCAGACAAAATGCTGCTAAGTCATCATCAATGGAAGTAACTTAATGGATAGATTATTATTAGATTTAATTTGTGGATGTGACGCGCATTCGTCCTATTTCACTCGTCATCTGGATGTACCTTATTCCCATCAGCCATCATAATTCAAACGCCAAAGCGTTATCCACTAGACCACTTGGGTCACGAGAGCCACCTCTTGTGCAACGGGTCATATTAATTTAACTGAATTTGAGATTTTCCCGTCGAGTGATTGGACCGAAGTGCTCGTCTCAGGTTGAGTCGTTCTTGTGCAGTACGAGGGTGTATCAGTAGTGGATAACGCTTGGCGTTTGGAACTAAGGGCACTGGGTTCGACTCGGTGGGAGCATCATCACTCACTGGGAAATGCAGGTACATCAAGATGACGAGTCCGATATAGGACGAAATGTGCCTCCTAGATTCCACTGCTAGTCACCATCTACAATTAAATTCTAATTAAATGATTACACATCTTCGAAGCATCTGACAAGAGCAATCAAAGGAAATCTCAAATTCAATTAAAAGTTTCATTTACCTACATTTTTGTCGCATATTTTCTTTTTAATAGGCGGTCCATGCACAATTGATTATTCACGTACACGAACAACAGATCATTTATTCACTGATCCCCCAGTCTCAGAATTAATACAACGTCATGGTATTTATGGTGGTTTAATGTCAAGGCAATTGAGTTATGTTCCACCTGTAAGTCAACAGTTATTAGAAGAAAAAATACAAGAAAATGATGATGAAAATGAGGATGGTGATGATGATGATGTAATGAAGATAATGATGGTGGTGATGTTGGTGACCTTGACGCTATAAATAATAATTCATTAAAACAAAGCAGAAAATCATTGAACAATGAACATAATGATGGTTCAACTGAAAAGATTAAAGGAAGATGTAAATATATTAATATTCCAGCTATAACAATGAATCCTGTGGAGGAAGAAAAAGAAGAAGATAATGATGATGGTAAAGATGAATTGGATAATGAAGATTCAGGTCTGCCTATTGATAGTATAATTAATCATAATCGAAAACGATATAACACTCGTAAAGTTGATTTAAATATTAACAATCCAAGTGTACTGAATCAAACTTCTTGGATGACTAAACGATCTAGTTCTCCACTTATTAGTGTGGTAAGTTTTTCTGTGAAATTTTACGAATTTATTTTAAATCAGTTATTATAACGAAAAGTAAGAATTCATCTGTGCTGGGTATAAATGATGTCTATTGTGTGAGAGAAGGGTTTCATAAGACTGAATTAAATGATATGGGATTCGAACCAGGAGTTCACTGAATGAAGTCACCTGTTCAAGGCAATAGGTCACTTTTTCTATTTAACTATTGACTTATGTATTACCTCTCAGATGAGATCGTCTTCAGTAGCTCAGTGTTTTGTAATTAATTCCTAGAGTAACCATATAGAACTTCATTTCGTCGGGCTTCTAATTGTTTGTATATCTGTGAAATGTCAATTCTTTCCGATAGTTTCAGCACTCAGATGGCATGAAAATGATAACAAAATCGACAGACGGTGTGTAGAATCTTTGGATCTAGGCGCTTGACTTGGAAACAATGAGTCACCGGTTCTAATCCTGCTATCTACTATCTAGTGACAGTCAGGTGATATCATTAACTCTCACACAATAGGTATGGCTCATGGCTAACTGCATGGAATTGCAAGTGGTTTTTGAGTAACTTAATTAATACTTTATAGAAAGAAATTCGACTTCAAAAGCCAAATAGTGAACCCAAAATATGCTTATGAGTGCCAGCTAGCATGAAACCTACGTCCAAGTCTTCCTGCTGATTGCCTCCAACCATCTAATACCAACAGAAAAAGACTTTGTAGCCTGTTTCGACAAGGTGGTCTAAGAGAGGACTGTTGATGGTTTTGACTACACCTGTATTTGGATGGAGGATTTCATCATGAGCTGGCATCAGTCAGAGAACCACTGAAAAACCTGGGAGTACTGGACAGCTGTTTCATCCTAGTTATGGATTCTTCATCAGTACGTACCCATCGGGGTTTGAACCTTCTGGTTACAAGGCGAGCTCGCAGACCACTGAGCCACACCTGTATTTAACCATACTGGTAGGTGTTCCCAAGCACAAAAATTAAGTTTCTAGAGCAACAGCTGTGATTCTCAAACTGCTCCACACGAGTAGTTTATGCTAGCCATTGCTTTATAGACCTAATTTTTTGTACTCGGGAATACCTACCAATGTGGTTAAATAAAGGCGTAGTTAAAACTATCAACAGTTCTGTGTTAGATCAACTCGTTCAAACAGGCCACAAAGCTACCACTGAAGATTCTTTTTCTATCATCTATCGTATAGTGAATAAATTATTAAAAGTCATTGGATACCGAAAACTCCAAACAACAGAGGCCAATACAGTCTGCTAAAAATGACCGGTGCTCTGGGTGGAAATAGACATGTCCAACCACTATTGCTACTGTGGCCTGCTGTGGAAACTATGGTTTCATGAATTCTCTATGATTACTCTTATGTTACATACACTTAAGCTCAATATTTGATTTCTGATTGACATGATCCAACAAATTCATAATATTACCCTCTTAGGTATTTGCTTATACTAATGAAGAACTGTTTCACGACATATTCAAATTGGCGGACATTAAAACCTAATCGAAATAAGTAATTCTTAGGGACAAACCAATGAACGTTAATGTACTGGAGTTAATAATGATTGATCCTTCTTTAAAAAAAGTTGAGATCGATCTTATATTGTACAAAAGAAGCTAGGGAGATCAACTGGATTAATTATTGAATGCATTTTTCACGGGGAATTTCAAAATAATCCATAGTGATATTGATGTTCAAAGCAGCGTTTTTGATTTACTATTTACACTACTAATAAGTAGATAAAAAATCTATGTGAAAAATTGAGTCGATCATGGTTGTATGGATGAATATCTAAAATTTGGTTCAGTACATGGAAATGTTCTGTGAAGTTATACTTCTGAGTATTTTAAAATCACAATCAATTTTATAGTAAGCAAATAAGAAACATGTTGATCTTTTGAAATTACTGCCAGCATACAGAATCTCATGACGTTTTTCTTATGTTTAGAACAGAGCAGAATTTCTTATTACTTCCAGTGAAAAGGGGACAATTTGTGAAGCTTATTAATCTGGGATGGATTGAATATATGCTACGGGAGACTGTTGTATGACACTCCACGCAAGGTTATTGGGTGGATTCCGAATGGGGACTCACGAGTTGGGCTTTAAGCCAAAAGTGATATGGAGGAGATTGTTCGTCGAGGAAATGAAAGCTTAGAACAGAGTGAAATGGTGGTGTGCTGCTGAATCCATATCTTCTGCTAGGAATCCAAGGGAATAATTACAATGGTAGATAATGTATATACTGATGCTGTTTTTCTATCTGATTAGGCCTAATTCTCTTGCAACTCAAAGAGCAGTTGCCATTTTCATATGAGGGTCGAGCTTACATAAAGCAGTGGCCCTACGAGCTACATCGGCTGGAAAGAATGTTTCTTCAGGTCTCACCAAACCAGAAAGTTCTTTGAGTTAGCGGCTAAACTTAAATCAGTCATCACCATAGTGTAAGTCACTGACAGTATGTTGGAGGTCTGAGGGTGACGTTGTACTGAATAATAACCGTAAGGTTCTTCCCTTAGACGACTAATAAGCCTACCGTGCTGTCACTACGTTTTGGGTGGGGTGTTAGGAAAGGTTTTCGTCACAAGTTGGACATCCTTACTTACTAAGTGGCAGTCCATAGCCGGTGGTTACGTCTTCATACGGGTGCAACTCCAAAATCACTTCAAACAGGCTATGTGTGACAGGCTTCACGCACTTGTCCCCTGGGCTCTGTTGTCACGCAACGTTAATTCTGTTTAGGTTTCAGGTAATTCACGAAGAAATTAATCCCGGAAACAATAATCACCCACACACTTCACTTTCAAGTCAACTGTCTTGAAAAAGAACCCTACTTCTCCTAACATTGTTCATTGATGGTTTGACATGTATAACTCTTGCTTCCCCGATTGGCTTACTTCCCTCTCCAATATCTAAATTACTTATCAAGTTACTTTGCCTAACTGTTTTATGATAAAACTACGATAAGAAGGTACACGAAAGAATTGCCTTCATATTTGTGATTAGACCATTTAATGATCACCATTGATAACTGATATAAGACGTTCGTCAGATCAGTGGTGTTTGTTGTCTGTTTATAAAGCAAAAATGACTCAAAATTAGGCTGGAATAAATGTTTAAATACACATTTAATTATTTTTCTATCTCTTCATTTCTACTTTTAGTCATCTCTCCAAAGTTTATTACGTTACTCATCAGTTTTCTTCATTTCTTGCATTTTGGGTAGTAGAACATAGGGTTTCAAGTCTTTGTTGTAGTTTCGGTAGCGATGTGGAGTGTACTACTGATGAGATTTATCAGTAGTATATAAAGAGAAAGTAAATAATACAGCGTTGTGGAGATACATGGAGACAACGTGAAAGGAAGACAAAGAAACACAATATGAAGGTAGGGGCAGAAGTAGCACAACACGGAAGATCGGTGCAAATGGTGCGTCGAAGATAAGGTGTACATAATTTGGCTGTATAGCGATACCAAATCGTTAATTAAACAATTCTTTACCAAGTCTCCGGTCTTCTGCCGTTACAGCGTTAGTGTTTTCTTAACCTAGGTGAAGTTGTTGGCCAACTGTTTCTCTTTGCCACATTTACTACCGGCTTGATGAGACTTAATAGTGAGCGTCTACTGGTAATCGAAAACGTAACACATGCATGGTTGTCGAGGATTCTTTTTCTGAACCAAACTTCATGGATTGATAGCATTTCACTTTAAAGACTTCATTACTCCAAAATCAATGTGGAGATCCTCTGCAGTCAATACCAAGAAATCCGGGTTTTCAACACTGACCTCAAGTCAGTCAGTGCTTCCATATGTCTGACTGACTTGACGAGCGAGTCATCAAAAGCATTTGCAATAGGCTACTGAAGACTTTAATCAACGATTGTTTTCTCTTCATAATACTGAGGACCAGAAGGCCAACCAGAAGAATAACCAACAGGGAACTGTGGCATCAACCAACGACCTATCATTCTACAAATATGCCGAAGGAAATAAAAATGGACTGAACACTCAATGAGGAAACCGTTGAATGTCATCAAGTATTAGGCCTTTGAGGGGAACCTGAGAGGGAGACGACAAGGTGGGCGTCTGTGCTAGAGTGACATGAAGAAGACCATGTGTGAAGGGAATGGAAGAGTTTGGGCAATGGTAAAGTGGGCTAAAAAGAACTGTAGAGAACAAAGCGAAGTGCAGGTATGCTGCTGATGTCCTACGTTCCACTCGAAACCCATGGGAATAATAATTAGATAGATTATTATTATTATTTCCTTTAATTCCTAGAGGAACATAGGGCTTCAGCCATGCGTCTCCATTGCGTTCGGTTCTCTGCTGTAGTTTTCACCTGGCTCCAAGTCTGCCCACACGCTTTCAATTCCTCTTCACATGATCTCCTCCAGGTCACCCTTGGACGACCAACTCGTCGCTTCCCTTTCGGGTTCCACTCGAGGGCTTGTCTAGTGATGTCACTTGCTGGTTTCCTCAGAGTGTGTCCAATCCATCTCCATTTCTTCCTGCCTATTTGTTTCACAATCGGTTCCTGGTTGGTTCGCTCCCAGAGATCTTTGTTGCTGATCCTCTCCGGCCATTTGATCTTGAGTATTGAGCGAAGGCATTTGTTAATGAAGGTCTGTAGCTTGTTTGAGCTGCTCTTTGTGACACGCCAAGTCTCTGATCCGTATAGTAGTACTGACTTCACATTGGAGTTGAAAATCCGGATCTTATTTTTCAAGCTGAGTGCTGTTGACCTCCACATAGACTTGAGAGAAATGAAAACTTGTCTTGCTTTTCCGATTCTGGCTTTGATATCCTCGTCAGTTCCTCCTGCAGTTGAGACGATGCTTCCCAGGTAGGTGAAAGAAGTTGTTTCTTTCAGGTTCCTCCCATTTATGCTGATTGTTGTCGGTTGTTGCTGTTGATGTTGGCCAGGAATCTTCATTACCTCTGTTTTGTCTATGTTCACTTGAAGTCCTATCTTTGCTGCTTCTTCTGC